CTTACTTTAAAGCGGTATTACAAATATTTTAGAAGTCCAAAGTCCTTATTTTTTCAAGCAGCAGATACGGCAGCCACTTGCCAGGAACGCATACTTATATAAATGCAGCGTGACTGGAGCGTGACAAAGAATTAATCTCCTCTAGAATGCAGGTTGGCTTCCAATATGTAATTGCATTACGGATGTAACGTTTAATAGGCATAAGTGATTTTAAACTCAATTGTGAGACAGATTTCCTAATCAGATTCGTGGTAACAGTCATATACGCTAGGCTTTTTTACAGAGAAAGTAATTATGCATTACTCGCTTGCTGTCTTTTGCTGCAGAGCTGTTCAAGTTTTCTAGTGTTGTGTGTTTAATAATTGAATTTGTACAGACACGTGATGCTGCCACGAGAACTTTCAAAACAAGTGCCAAAATCTCATCTGATGTCTGAAGAAGAGTGGAGACGTCTTGGTGTTCAGCAGAGTCTTGGCTGGGTTCACTATATGATCCATGAGCCAGGTAAGCACATCTGAAAGAATTAGGTGGAAAAAAAAAGGTGTCTAAAACATTAACAGCCTGGTGCTTAGCTGAAGTGTGTAACGCATAACTTGTTCTGCTGTGGAATCCAGCTGGAATTAAATACCGAATGTTTAGACTCCTGCTTATCTACTTGCTATTTTAGCCCTTTGTCAACAAAGGCGACATAACCTTAATGCTCATGTAGGTAAGGTCCTGTGTTAGTGCTCTGAAAAATCTACAGTACAGTTTGAACTCTAGCTATAGCGCCTACTTAAAAATCAGTATTTTATATAATGGAGTGTGAAGCCCCAGAGTCTATGAACGAGGATGTACTGTGAGAAGAGCCTTTTTAGGTAACTTACCATTGACAAGCCTGACTGAAAAGTAACAAGTGATACATGAACTGCAGCAGCAACTGGAGTTCCAAGTTTCTGAAGAATCAGGTGAAGAAATTAGTATAACCTTCCAGTGTTTCCCTTACCTTGTTACCTTTGATACTTTAGACTTTTCTGGAGGTGTTTAGGTATAAGTTAGATCAATAATAATGTAAGCTGGCTGTATTAACTAAAGTGGATTTTTTTGATGCTTGACATGATGTACCTAACAGACAGTTTACCTAGTTTGCTTGTCTTTCAGTAAGAGTTCATCAAATAGCCTAATGTAAAGAGACAGTTGGTACTAAATAAAAGTACTGTTTTTTCCAATACTTCCTTCCTTCCTGTATCTTAAGTTTATGATACAGGTACCATTTGGTATAAAACTAAAAAACATGTGTTTGACTGTTACATGGCTACTGCAAAGTTGGTCTGTTAATATTACATGTGGAGCCATATTTGGACTTCTTGATCTACTTATCTGATAGCAAGCTTCAACTATCATCCCAAACTTCCAAAATGAAAGAAATCCCTTCAAACAAGACTTGAGGGACAGACTGATGCTTTCAATTTTCTTTCTACAGAGCCACATATTCTGCTCTTCAGGAGACCTCTTCAAAAGGCGGAGCAGAAATAAGTCATCGCCTCTTCAATCTTCTGGAACTATGTATATGAGTGTATATATGTTGGCAGTATTCAGTGAATACTTTAAATTTACAAAACATACATCCAAACCTGTGCATGAGCTGTATTATTCACAGCAACAAAGCTCAGTCAAGTGAAATTTCAAGTAGGCTGCTATAATGTTAAAAGAGCGGATGGCTTTATCTTTACTGTCAATGTAAGTGCCTCTCTGAATTAAATTGCATTCATGTTTGTGTTGCACATTCTGGTTAGATGATCTTGTTATCTGTGTTCAGTGACTTTTGCACTCATCTTTTCTGCTATATCCTAGTATATTCAAATCTATTAGTTCTTCTGTTTAGGAGGAAGTAGGCTTAAGAAATAAACTGCTTTTTGTGTTCTTATAAAGCCTCAATGCCTGGAGTTCTAATTTACTGTCATAACAAGTATTTGTTGTCTAACATTTTATGAGTACCTACTTTGGAAAACAGTTACTTGGTGATCCTATCCCTGATGACTTGGTATAAACTCTGTGTTGTGTACTTCTTAATATTGCATAGAGATGTCTTTATGCTTGTTTGGTTAACTCTGCTAGTACCAGTTAACTTTCTATCACAAGCTTTTACTCTGGGGTTCTAGCCTGCACTTCCTGTCTTGCAGTGAAGTTGTCACTGTGAAGTCTTGGGACCCTGTAATAGCAGCCATACACTCAGATTTTATTTTTTTTTTTAAAAAAGGTACTTCAGTATATTGTGTTTCAGTAACTCTCAGTACCAGGGGTTCATTTCCAACATGAGTTAGTATTACAGCTGTGTAGGATTTGGAAGGCCAGCGACAGCAGGATCCATCTGCATGTGGCTTAAGTGACAAAGCATGTGCTGTCCCTGTGTCATGTGTGCTTGTTGTGCAGACAGCGGTAAGTAACACGAAAAGTCTGGTGAGGAAAAGGACCCTTGAGGGCCTTCCTCTAAAAGCTGCCTGAGCTGTCTGTCTCAGTGGTGGACTGAACCAGGCCCGGTCACACCTTCACTAAGAATCCTGCTGAGCTCTGCCTAAGCCGTGCTCTTCCTCGGGCTGGTGTCTTTGGAGGGTCCCGGGCGCGTGCCTGCCCTCCATCCCCGTGGCACAGGATCCCGCGCTCCCTGCCCTCCATCCCCGTGGCACAGGATCCCGCCGCACTCCCTGCCCTCCATCCCCGTGGCACAGGATCCCGCACTCCCTGCCCTCCATCCCCGTGGCACAGGATCCCGCACTCCCTGCCCTCCATCCCCGTGGCACAGGATCCCGCACTCCCTGC